ATCAGTCCATAATAAGTCCTCTCACATTCACTAAAACCTCCACATGGAACTTTTTGAAGGACACAGATTCAAGTGGAACAGAGATTCATCTGTCAGCCTGTTGACTTGTTTAGCCCAGAGAGGTTTGAAGAATCAGGCTGATAACTCACTGCTTTCGCAGATTGTTGACACTCTCATCTTCTTCTGCTGTACAGTTATCACTGTTTGTCATAATGTGGACTGTTAAAAGCTCCAGCTTCAGTAAATAGATCTCTAACCTCCAACACTTTCTTATGAACAGTCAGTCAGCTGAGTGGAACCAAGCAGAGAAAAGTCACTCATTGGGATGGTTGCTTTCACAACGATGTAACCATTAATGTGTTATGCCTGACACTTGGCTTATCAGCACTGTGATGAAAATGGCGGAAAGTGCTGATAATGAATCTGTGTAATCACGCCGCCTTTAAAAGACACTTATCTCTAAGCCTGCTTCCTACACCTGTGACCTTGCATTAAAATGTACGACACTGGTGCTTTTAGTGTAATTTTCATGCAACAGAACAGTCTGAAGGAGCTGAAGAAGAACCAGGAAATCAATCCCTGCTGCTATTTGCATTTGGTAAATTAAGCTTTTTGCACTCTGAGTCACTATGTGTATGCACAGACTTTATATCATATGCATGTACATCATATCTATGAAAACATTAGCTGATATTGTCTGACAAATTGACTTCTTTGTTTCATACTGAAGCATTGTCTTATTTAAAAGTCTATTTCTGAGACTGTGAATTGGATGACAGGTAATATTCTAATATATTTGTGCTCCTCAGATCTTGATATGCATATGAACAATCAGATATAATTAAGAAATCTGACTTTCAAATGACATTTAATATGTTTTGATGAAATGGGAGCATTTCGAATTCCTGACAGCAGTAAATTAGGATTGAGTGATGAAAGCACAAACATCCTGTTTCCAAAGTTTCAGTGTCATGTGTCACAAGTTTATTAATACTGTAACTGAGTTTGTGTTTTGTGCTTTCAATGAAAGTTACTTATCTGACAAATGATGATGAGCATCCACCACAGCGTGAATCTTAATACCCATCTAGACAGCACAGTTGGTTGATTATTGACAGCAGCTTGTCAGTTAATATACACATCAGAGATTCATATTAAATAGCAAACCAGTCAAATGTGGCAAATCACCACATCGTTAGATCCCGAAATTAAATGGAATATTTTTTATCAAGATGGAAGTCAGTCATAATTTCCTCAAAGAGCTTATTATTTTCCACATCTAATAGAAGTTTGCATATCAGTCTTCCCAAATGTGCCACTAGTATTAATAACACTGTCAGTAGTTCTATAAACCTCGTCCGTAATGTGCGAATGTGTTTCTTTGACTATGTCTTACTTCTTCTGTCATTAAATGGTGACCAGCCAGCATGTTTTGCCCTGTACATGATGGGACAGCCATACTGTAAGAGTGAAGCTCTGCTGTCCTCCTGCAAGGATTATTAGGATGTCGCTGAGTGGCTAAGGTTTACCAGTAACTCGTTTGCTAGTCAACCTGGAAATTGGTCCATCAACGGAAAAAAGACATCTACTGTGTGTGTGATGGGGCCGTACTGTAAATTAATCATATTTTATTTAATCAATACATAGAATAATTTCCCCATCAGCTTAACTTTGGTACATTCTAGCATTCATACTGCCACTGATGTATTGCTACTGATGGTGTTGCGCAAAAGCTGTGCTTAGATAAGGCAAGGTGAGGCAAGATTATTTGTATAGCACATTTTCACAACAAGGCGATTCAAAGTGCTTGAAACATAAAAGCAAGACAAAACAGGAGAGTAAAAGTTACAGTAAAAGCCTCAAATTAGTTGATTTAATGGCCTCATGTGCCTGTTTGGAATATTAAAATTACGGCCAGAGAATGCAGGAACCAAATAAATTTTTGATTTTAATATTAAATCGATTGGAAAACCGATTAATTTTATAAGTCAAGTGTCAAGTAGAATTGTTGTCGGATATATATCATTTTAAACCAAATGTCTTCGGGTTTTGGATCAGCGTGTTGTAAAACAAGGAATAGGAGGGCTTCACCACGAGTTTTGGGAAATAGGGAAATGGGGATTTTTATTTTATTTATTTTTCCACAATTTCTGGTATTAAATATGAAAATAATTGACAGATTAATCAACAATAAAAACGAATTGTTAGTTTTATCCAGAATATCAACGATGGGTGAATTACTGTATGACAGCTATGTGATAAATTAAATTGTTTGTGCCCATGGTGGTCCGTCAAGTATCTGTGATTAAGTTGCTAAAAGCCACGACTGCTAGTTTTTCACATTAACTGAATAATGTGAAACAAGCCACTTTTCCTTAAACATTGTATTCTTGTTTTATGATCATCAGTAAGCAGTAGTGTAAAAACAATATGTACACCCCATACAGAGTGGCTGTGGTTACTTTTCTTGTTGATAAACTAAGAAAATTCTTAGTCAAGTCAACAGCAAAGCATTTTTAAAAGCTTCTCTTTGTTTAAATCTTGTAAATACATTGTAGGGAAAAAACTACAAAGCCACTGTATTTAAACTCCCTCAGTGTGTTAGTGACTGAAACCATCTCAGTCAGGTTTACACATGAAACTCTGGTACTCAGCAGCCAGACAGCCATGCTCTTTTTTTTATCTGGTTTGAGAAGACAAGTTTATGCTGTGTTCATTCCTTTCTCATGATCACATAATGCAGCTTCAAAGGGAATCTACAAGAGGAACAGTGAGGTGTATCATAAGAACGACTCTCTCACTGAATTAGTTCTGAATTACATTCTCTTTGTGGTGAACTTTGTCTTGTCAAAATAACATAAGATGTAAGATGTGCCTTTATTGATCGCCCGGAGGGGAAATTCAAATTTCCCCCTCGCAACCCTTAGATTATGCTGTCATCGTTTTTTGTCAAATCATGCTGAGGTTCTGTTTTCTTATGTAACTTTGATTGATGTAAATTGAATTAACTGATGACTCTGAGCAGCTTATTTCTAGAGCACTGGTCTGCAGTTGCAGGGAAGTCAATGTAACAATCATCTGATGTATTCAGATAATGTAATTTGCTGTTTAGTATTTCTTTCTTCAAAGTCATTTAACTTTTATTGTCTTTATAGTAGGATTGAGTTAATTAGTATGGCCACAAAATTAATTTCCATTTCCAGAATACAGTACAATATAAAATATATAGGATTCAAACAAGGCTAGGAGTTCCTATAAATTGCAGTAATGATTTACAATGTACTGTACATATACCACCATATCACTTTACAGTAATAAAATTTATACATTTTCATTCCATTTCACATATGTATGTCATTTCCATACTGTCTGTTTTTTAAAAGCAAGGGTAAAATATTCTCCTAAATTGGCCATGACAGCTGAAATGAGATTAGACTTCAAAGTTAGCTGGCTGAGCTCTGTTTAAAAATTTCAGGAGACATAAAACATCTCAAGAGAGAAAGAGATCTCTCTCTTTGTGAAGCTTGTATAATTCAGGTCCAAAGTGACGTAAAAAGCAGAAATGGACTACAAAACGGAGTACCACTATAAAAAATCCTCAACATATGCCATCTAAAGTACTGTAATCAGGGCCTCATAAAACAATTTAAATTTTGCTTTTATAAAATAGTTCTATATCTATTTGATATCTATCTATTTGAACATGATATAATGCATTATGTTTTGCCTGCACAGGTGCATCCGTATCTGTATATTGTAGTATTCACCAATGGGAATTAGTTCTCTATTCCACTGTGGGCCTCCATC